TAAATGAAAACGTAGCACTGGCATCTTTTGGAAAGTGCAGAGACTCCTGAAACTCATTTGGGCACCCTGAGGACACATCAGAGGAAAGATTAGCCCTCCAGCCACCTGCAGCAATGCATTAGCAAGGTGAAAAGAACAAAAACCATTGAGAAGAGTTTTATGGGCCAGCCCCAGACACAGCCAGGGGTACCTGAATCACAGCTTTCCAGTGGGCAGCATCATTCCTCCTCTCCACCTCCTCCGCAAGCATAAGCAGAGGACTTCAAAACCTACAAATGTGAAGAGTTCAGCAGGTAATGTCCCTGACTGCAGGACATTTATGCTCAGTTCTATTTCCAAAACAGGCTCCATCTCAGCTTCAAAGCATAGAGGGAGGCCAGGAGAAAGCCACAGGATCACGCAGGTTTCAAGGAAAGGAGGCTGTAGATGGTACCTCTGTTATCTCTGTGCTCTCACCTCCCTTAAAACAGAAATAATCCTTCCTGATGACTCCACACCTCTCAAGTCCCACCCTCTGGCTTTCCTCTTTCCCTGCCTCACTAAGGCAGATTTTTTCTAATATTCAGCTCTACAAGACCTATTTTACATCAATGATTTCCTATTATTTTACATGAGTTGCTGCATTATTTATTAGTTTTAAATGTATTGTTATGTAATCACATCAAATGTACTTAGGCAACGAAGATGAAGGTATGATAATGAAAGAACAATGTGCAATTCAACATCAACCCTTTTTCTAGAGTTGTTAGTGGTTATCCTTTGTTTTTAGCAACCACATTTAACTCTTCATCCTCTTCTGATCCAAATGTGCCACCAGGGCTGTGACCAGTTCCACTCTCCCTATTTTTGTAAGATCTTTTTTTGTACTGCAGTGTCTAGGACAAGACTCAACATTCAGCATGAGACTATGCTATTTATCTAGGGCTTGTTCTTAACTACTTTTCCACAATGCAGGATAATTTTGGATCATTACAGAAAATGGGATTTAGATGTGAAATACCTCAATTAACGGTTTTTTGCTTTTACTGCCTTTTTTTTTCCAGCAGACATTGCTAACATTGGCATGCCTTGCTGTTGTCATGGCAATGAAAGGAGTCTATATGGGTTTGGATGTGACTCAGAAATCATTTTATACAGAAATGGGACAACAATTAGAATAATGGACATTGGGTATTCCTGTGCCACCAGTTAAGAAATGGTCAACAGGAAAGAAAAGAAAGATCCCAAATAAGCGGCAAAAGGGACTGAACAAAAGCTCCTTGATTGGATACAAGACACCAAATTGTTACTTGTGACTCTACCTTGCAGTTAGGGCTGTGTGGGTAAAGCTTTGTCACTCCTGAGGGTTATTAAAATTACAGTGGTCTGCCTGGGCAGTTACTTAACCAGCCCAGGAGCAGATTTGCCCAAGTAAATGCTGCTCTTGGTGTTCAGAAATACATGAGGAGTTTTGTATTGCAGACTCATCCGAATAAAAATTGGGATTTCAATTGTCTTGAAACACTCCTGTCTCTGTGAGGGCTCATTCAAAGGCAAGGCTCTTCTCATGGCCAGTGAGTTCACAATTTGCATGAGGCAAAAGAGGAATATTTTGGAGAAGCAAGTTTGCCAATTAAAAGATGGGGAAAGGAGCTGTGTCAGTCCCTGATCAGGTGTGGAGGAGGCAGTGGCAAACACTGAGGAACACGACTAAAGCCAGCCCACACCAACCTAGGAAGTGTCTGGAAAAATTATTTTGAGCTAGGCTATAAATACCATTCACCTATGTCTTCTGCATCTTACTCATCACAACACTCCTCTTCTCCTGGGGATCCAAGGTATGTGAGGGAAGCTGTTATTACATGGTTTGCCTGTGCAGAGATGCCAAGCATGGAGGCACTGAAATATATGGATCTGCGTCAGTCCTTAATGTCATCTTCCTCCTCCTGTTCTGCAGTGCCAGTTCTCTGCCGGGCACTTCCCGTCCCTGCCCAGCTGAGCCACACGGAGGGTTCTTTGTTAGAAAGCAACCCAAAGGCACCTCCCCAGGGCCAGCTGGCTCTGGCCCAGCACAGATCGTCACTGCCCCATCCTCTGCAGCTTCGGGGATGTGTCACTTCCTTTCTTCTCCTCGTGGACCCAACACACTGAAATGCAGAGGAGGAACCAGACTGAAGTAACCTCAGATTTAAGGTCTGATTCAATCCATCATCATCTGTCCTTTTCTTTAGCTGGCTGGTAACTTTTTCAAGTTATTTTACTCAAACTAGCTCTGTATCGATGTTCTGCACCTCAGAAATGCCCTTGGCTAGGCCAGACCAGGAAACATTCCAGAAAACAAATGGGAAAAGCACATGGGAAACAAGAGGGGTTTGCACTGGAAGACAACGAATGAGAACATACAGGGGAAAAGAAAAGCATTGTATGTAAACAACTAAGTAACAACTAAATTCACGCACAGGACTAGTTCCAAACTAATCTATGCATGGATATGAAACACTTTGAGCAAGTGGAGCAAGCAGGTTATTAGAACTTCAAAAGGAACGGTAATTCTCATTAGCTTAGTATGGCAGCATCCAGTGCACAGCCAAAGTGCAGCTAAAATAGTGTCACAGCAATAGCTGTATGCATAAAGAGAACTAATAACTCTATGCATAAAGGTACTGGAAAGAGTGAAACAATAAATGAAAATGGCCCGTGGTCAAAGTCCCATCCACAGGATTGCCACTCCCCAGCTCTACCCTTAGCAGGTGTTCACAACACCTTTAAAGCCTTAGGATGGAGGTTTGATGCTCTGCTTTCTTTTAAAAACCCCCTTGTGCAATCCTGTAGTGTGTCCCCACATCCTACCCCTTTATCCCATGGGAAAAGTCCCTGTCCCTGTGGATGAGGACTCTGAAGAACCAGAGAGAGAAGCCTACCAGCGCTGGGCTGTGGCACTGGAAGAAGTCGCGGAAGAAGAGGAATGGATTTGAAATAATGGACTTGTTTAACTGAGACTGTTGAATGGAGAGAAATTACAAGTTTATGGCTGTTTTAATGTTTTTTAATAATGGTTTGTCCTTATCCCTATGTTGTAATGGTTCATTCCCACAAGAGTTCCACTCCCTTTCATGCATATTCTATTGTTATCCCTCCCCTTTATGTTCTGTACCCAATCCTTGTTCCTCCTTCCCAAAACTCCTCCTCTTATTCACCGTAATCTGGAAAGTTCTCCCAGCTCCCCTATAAAAGGGGGAGCCATGTTAATAAACTGGTTCCCTCCTTTCCACCCAGAAGCTTGTGTCGAACTGTGAGTGAACTTCCCCGTGTCCCTAGCCAGGCTGGGTTATGTCCCAATTGCTCCCCTCTTCCTCTAGTTTTTCCTACTCAGTGAGCAAGACCTTTGAATGGGAACACGTGAAAGGCAACCCAGAGCTGTGACATCCCCTTTGTGTCACTCCAGGAGCAAACAGGCTGAGACTGGCTGTCCCTGTGCATTCCAGGTGGAGAGGTCCCGCGGCTGCCCCAGCCCTGGAGCAGCAGGAGCAAACAGAAGGTTGGTGCTGGCAGGACACAGGGGCTGTACCTGCCAAAAATAGCACGCAGGAGATGTGTGCCTGTACACGTAATCGAGCGCAGTCCCTCCCTGCTGCCCCAAAAAGCAGCACCCACAGCATTTACGAGTTAATGTTTACGAGGAGTTGCATCACATGAAATGGACTCAGTAGCAAAATAACACCTGAGCTGTTTCCAGCAAGCACCAGTGTCCTGGTTTGCTCCAATGGAATCCAAGGGAGGTGAAAAATTTAAGGAAGAAAGATCAAAGTTTATGCAGCCATCAGCACAGCACTGACCCAGTCTCCATTTCCACAAGGAGAAAAAACACAGAACAATTTATCCAGAGGGCTTCGGTTAAGCAAAAATCTTCCATTTTTTCATTGAGTAAGTCCTCTTCCTATTTATTCCTCTCTGAAATAGGCACATGCCACTAGTTAGAGGTATAACTTGCTTTCTAATTACTCCAATCCTTTTGCACAAATGCAAAATATTACTATCCTTCACCACAATTGTTCCGTGCAAGATCCTGTGCATGATGTCTTTCAGCAAGAGGAATTTAATTTTTAAGTCAAATACATAATTAATTTCATGAAAGTCATTAATAAATACTAAATCTAGGAAAAGAAGCATTTTATAGTTGTGATTGTTTAATTTTTCTCTGCAGAATACAAATGCATAAAAATGGTAAAAGCTGTTCTCAAGACTTACAACATTCAAAGACCACGATTACAGACAGTACTCAGGTGATTGTGCCACAGAAAGCCTGAAGGCCTAAAAGAAACCGTAAATCTTGTCTGTACAGCGTATTCTAAAGCACTGTTTGGCATTCTTAAAAAGAATTACTTTTTCCATTTTATCGACATAATTCCTCAGATAAAAAATGATTTTCCAAGATAATCTTTTTAGGGAAAAAAACCCCACAACTCTATTTTTGTCTGAGAATTCCTCTTTTTGAACTTGAGCTCCAAAAGCAATTAATTTTACTCTTTATTATTCTGTATTATCTTATTATTCTGTAAAATTACTCTGTATTATCTTTTACAACTCTGACAGTTATGTCCTCCATTCCATCAATTCACTATTTCTTCCCCTCTTTTCCTATTAGTTATTCCTCATGTCCCCTTAACTGCTGTTTTTTTAACTGACTTTGGCTTCTGTCAGTTCATTGATATTTTTCTAGTCTTTAACAGGAAGTGAATATACTAACTGTTGTCTGAAAGCTGTACAATGAGGAATTATCCTTCTGCTTTCATGAATCAATGACCACTCTGTAAGGCTAAAAGCAGTTTTTCTCTTTCCATTGTTTTCCCACTTCCTCTCATCCCATTTGTTGTTGCACTCAGTTTTTTTCCAGCAAGCACCACAACACAAATAATACCCTCCCACACCTTTCACTTTGAGATCTCACACTATTTTTCAAAAGGAATCCTCTTTCCCTTAGATGGAGAAAACACAGGGTACAAATAGGACAGTTATCTCACCCCAGGATGTGTAGCACAGGTTGTATTCCAGCTCAGCGTGTTCCCTCATATTCTCCTTTTCCAAGGAAACCCCTGCTCATACTGATCTGTTTAGAAAGAGGTGGGTAAAGTTCAAGCATTGCTTTTTCCTGTCCCACTTCACTTCTTGGGCTGCTTCCACCATAAACCCTCACTGCTGCTGGGGAAAGGACGGGCCCCCTCCCGAGGGAGACACGGGAGAATAAAGGTCACTTCAAAATTAATCCTGGACAGAAATCTTTCTCTTGGAGCCCTGTCAACATCTTCATGTCAGAGAGGTGAAAAACTAAGCCTGGACAGATGAACCAACTTTCCCAAAGCTGTTCTGGAGTTTCAGGAAGCAGAGCCAGGAATAGGGCTCCAGTCTCCACACCACCAGGGTTTAACCCCAGAGCCCAGAGGTGCTGCCCACACGTGTCTGGATTTGGATGTGCCATGAGGTCCTGGGCTTGACAGACAAAATCACAGATGTTTCCTCTTTGATGGAGGTAATGCAGCCCTAAATCACCCAGATAAGAGATGAGCTAAAACCACCAATAAACCTTTCAGCCAATTAACAAGGTAGTAGAAGACTCTGCTGGTTAGTGGGTGGTTGTCCCTCCCAACCCGTTTGTGCTGGTAAATCCATTGCCACCCAGACAGAGGCACAGATTTCCATCTCCTGTTTTTGTGCTGTTGGTTACAGGCACGTGGCTCTTTATAACTTCACTTACTAACAACACTCACCCCCAAAAAAACCACCAAAGCCCCACTCAGCCCTAGAATCAGACAGGCAACAACTTGAAGTCAAGAGGAGCCTTAACACACACAACTTTAAGATATTAGTTCACTTCTTAGATACCAAAGGAAAAAAAATGATTTTCTGGAACTGGTCACATAGTTTCCTGTAGCTATTTTTAGTTTGTCCTGAATCACCTGAGTTAAAGAATTAGCTCAAGCCTGAATAATTGTCCAGCTGAGAAAAAATGCTAGAAATTGAGCTGAGAACCAGTTTCTTGCTTCTCAAAAATGAGTTAGGTGCATTTGGTGGGGGTTTAAGTATTTTTTGCCTCCTGTGTGTCATGGATGTACAGCAAATGCACATTTGGATGGTTCCTAATAATGGGTTCAGGGCAGAAAAAGTAAAAAGGGACAATTTTCTGTGAATGCACCTCGGAAAAGAGGAATAAATGCCCTCAGAGACATCTTCTGTTCACTCAGCTGGGGGTACTGAACTACAATACCTGCTCATGATGGGGACACATTTTTGAGGGATGTGACCAGAAGTGTTCTGCCGAGCTCTGAAAGAGGGATAAGTAGCAAGGAGGGAGAGATGAGAAGCCACTCACTGCTCCATGGCTGAGACATCTCTTTCTCCCATTTTTCTAGAGGTGAAAAAGCCAATGAAATCCTATCATCAACATTTTTAAGTAGGTATAGCGAGTACATGGTGAAACTTTATTCTTTCTTTAATTGCATGGGATACAATCTGAACCTGGCTACAGTAGGTTCTTAATTTTGTGTGATGTTTGGCTTCATATGTGTCTATAAACATAGATGAAATGACAATAAAAATTTAAAATAAAGATTCCACAGCAAGAACATGAAAACAGACAGGAGCCGATAAAACTGATTAAAAAGAAGACGACAAAACAAAAAAAGAGCAAGACAAATACACAACAGTCAATTCACTTAAAACCCCATCCTACATTTACTCTTGAATTTTCTCCAAGTGTACTATGTCAAGCTCTAGGTAGATAGTGCTAAATTAATTTAATTTCAGGATCACACGGAAAATAGCACTAAAAACCTTTCACTCCTCTTCCCAAGAGTGAAACTAAACCATCACACAACACACCTTACTTTTAGTAGTTTTCTCTTTTGTTTGCTTAACAAAAACCTGGAATTCTTCTAACAGAAAAAAAAACCAAAAAGAACAAAACAACCCGAAGTTTTGCTTTGAAATGAAAAGCAGTTCTATGACATAGAAATGTTTGTCTGGATGAATAGGAAGCTCTGCCCACTGCACAGCAAGGGCTGCAAAGGGCACCCTGTTTAACCGAGCTGGTGTCCTAAAGAACATCCATCAACACCTCCTCTGGATGCCTTGCACATTCAGCATGGGATGGAAGTTATCCCTGTCTGAACCTCAGGGACATTTCTGTTGCTGGAATGTTAACAAACTGCTAATAAATAAAAATTCCGTGCATAAAACAACTCACAGGAATGTGGAATGTGATTTTTGGGGGCTTGATTTTGTTGTTGTTGGTTTTTTGTTTGGGTTTTTTTTTTGTTGTTTTTTTACAAAGTCCAAGAACTCACAAAAACCCCAAAACTCCCTTCAACCCATTTTCTGAGAAGATCCAGTATAACTTTCCACACAGTGGCATTTCCCTAGAAAATGTCACTCTTAAAGCTGTAGTTCCTCCGGTGTTCCAACAGCACCACACACCATTTGGAAGCTGAAGTTGCCCATAAGCTGTATCCCCTGGAGAAATGTTTGGGTGTTTTCCAGCCCTCCCCCTCAAGGACTCTGCTCTGGCACCAGTTTTCAGTTAAATCAACAGCTGGACCATCATTCCCGCTCAGACTGGGATAGCCCAGTGCTGCAAACTCAAATTGCAGTTTTGAGCAGTGACTGAACAATTTTTATAACAAGTATAACACAAATATTCACAAAATCACAACTGTGAAATTGTCCCAGAGGAAGACAGTTTGCAGTAAACTCAACCAAACCTCAGATCTACCTGTTTCAGAGCCCTGAACACCTTGGGACACACAAGGGAACACAAGACATTCTCCAGTACACCAGAATATTTTTTAATGAATTCTCCTCCTTTTAAATTCTCTGTGTTTCGAATTTCTCTCTCTCTCTCATGTTTCTATTTCTGAAATACTTTCATTAAAATGAATATTAAAGAAACCTCATCAGTTCTTGGTTTCTGGGTGCCAAGCAAAGGGCAGCCTCTAATTGCTGTGAACGGTTTTGTTCAGTGTGTTATGAAGTGAGCACAGAATGTGTTTTACAGTGTGCAGCCCTCTCCAAACTTCAGTAAGGAAGGATTACTAAAGACAGATATTAACCTCTTGAGCTCGCAAGAAGCTCCAGCATTGCCCAACTGCCCAAGATGCAATTAAATAAGGTCTTATTTATGTCATACAATACTGGATCTCATTCCAAGCTTTTTGTCCTTAAAAAAATAGACTAAAGCTATACAGTAGCTGCAACAGTTGAATAAACATCTTTTAATGTTAATTGATAAACAACCATAACATGTTGTCATTTATCCACGGAAATGCTGACGAGGGAGCTCAAATATAGAACAGCTGCATTTAGTGTTGTGTTTATATGGGATTTTTTTTTAAACTAATGAGCTCTGTGTTCATTAAAAATGTCATTAAACTCTTTCCCAGCTTAGTAGTGAGAGGTTGGTTTTGCCACAGCTTGGGTGTACAGTGTGTTGTCAGCTGTAAACAGTGGGAATGACAGAGAACAATGATCCATTAAGTGCATGGAAGAATCCATAACCTCCAGTTAAGCTAAACGGGTTCAATGAAGTGGGTAATATCCAAAATTATCATTTACTTTTTTCCTGTTAAAGGAATTAGCTAACAGGGCAGCTTCATGTGTTGAAATTATGTTGTGACTCAGCAGATTTGATCAGGTTTTTTACAAAGGCATTCTGTGCTAGGTGGCTTCATTATGTTACTCTGAAGATTTATCTTATTTTTTAAAATATATCCCTCTTTATGCTACAGATAAGCAATCACAGATATTGAGTAGTTTCCAGCATGGAGAAGATAAAAAACCAGAACACAATAATATAGTTCTGATTAAAGATTTTCTTCCGCCACATACTTAAATAATCAGCCAGGATGACTGAAAAAGAAACATGAAAAGGGTGAATATAGCAGAAAAAGCAACAGAAAAATTCTGAAAGGAGCATTTTTGAGTGAGCCTAGAAATTCACTGTCGGTTGTCTGGTTGCAGCTGAAGTCCCCAGGAAGCTCATCCTCTCTGCTATCACAGGTAGGGTTTCCCACAGTGACGTGCAGTTAGATACTGGGGTGGCAGCCCCTGAGGGAGCCCTTGAGATCCTTTTTGGATCCCATTTCAGTGGGAGGTTTCCCATTTTTTAGGACACTGGTGTGAGGAAGCAAGCCCCAGCTATGGAATTAAACACACTTGTGTGATGTGACAGTGCCAGAATGGCTCATGTCAGCACAGTGACCTGGGAATGGCAATGGACACCTCTTTCTGTTGCTCTGGGGAGTCACAGAAGCAACAGTTCCTGTTGTATTGGAAGGTACCAGGATGTGGTACCTGGACAATGCCTCAGGACACCCACTGCCACCTCCTACACCTCCACTAACATTTATTCCCCCACCATCCACAGTGACCCCCACCTCTCCCAGCTCCTCCTCAGTCATTCCCCTGCTCCCCTCATCCACAACCCTTTCTCCCCTCTCTAAGCACATTTTCCCACTTGTCTCTCTCCTGTCCCGGCATGTGACCCAGCCCCCCTGCCCTGCCCTGCCCTGCAAGGCCACTAGCCTGCAAATACCCTTTATTGCACTTGGCCTCTGCTCAGTACACACAACAGGATCAGCCCAGCAGCCTGGACTGGGGGTACACCTCTTGTTTGGGCCTGGCGTGGAGGAATTCCAGTGGAACACCGTGACCCAGCTGCTTCAGAGTGCAACATGACCCAGTTTAGTGCTAGTTCTTGTTAATCTCGAGCAGAGAGAGGCTCCAGCATCAACTGGGTGCAACAGAGACCATGGCAGAAGCACAGGGGCGAGTTAGTTTGGCCTTTCATTTTGTCTGCAGCATTTTCAATGCCTCAATTATGACTTGCCCACCACAAGCTTTCTGTAGGATGTATAACCACACACAACAGAGGACAAACTATTTTAACACTTGCAGATGTCACTCCATGAAATGTCCTTGGCTCTGTCTTCTGTAACAGGTGTCTTAAGAAACATGCACTAAAGGCCAAAGGAATTAAAATCAGAACTGGTGTCACCCTTACATGCAGCAGTTGAATAAAGCAAAACAAATTAGTATTATTGCTCAAGTGCTGCTGGA